ACAACAATCAGTCAACCAGATGTGACAGTTTCCAATCGAGTCATACCCCTTGAGAGGCTAGTGCTGAAACGAGTAAGGACCGATGTTCACAACAAGCTCACAAAGATGGGTTGTGCTATATAGTGTAGATTCCATGTTTCTTGATCGAACTTAACTGAGCATTTTGAGTGCCAGTTGAAATTGTGGTTGATGAACAACACTCGTGTGTGACTTACTGCTATGTGATCCTTCAGATCTCGTTCCCTCTGTCACAAATCTTTATACGCCAGTAATGCTACCTGACCTTCCTCGATTACTAATCTTCTGGGGAGCATTTTATCCAGTGAACTGAACCAAAGCTCATGCACGTGATAGGCACGTGATAGACGGTTGTCTACGAACGGCAGCACAATTGTATCCACACCGCGGGGTACCCATTAATCCCCGTTACCTGTACCGTTGCACGTATAGGACTGGAATGCGCAACACCGTAACATGGATTGTTGCGTTACACGTTACCTCACCTGCATTGGCTAATAGCTGGGTGATCGGCGTCCTGACCAGTTAGTTGGGATAAACCCAAAAGCCCAACACAGCAGCTTCACTCCAAACACATCAATACAGTTGTCCTATTTAAACCGCAAATTTGAAACACATTAATTAATTCCAAGCCTACATAAACACAAGAATAGTGTGGATAGCCCATTATGTCCACTCAACCAAGTGGAGGCGGAAGCGCATATCAGACGCGCGCACATAGATACACACAAACAGACATGGAGAGCGCCCGCCACTCATCGTTGCGTATTAACTTCTACCATTACAAACGAATGAAATTAATTCAGCTCGGGTTTTGCCTCATGTTTTTTTGGTTGCCCTTTGTCCTCCGTACGGTATCTGACGGCATATTAATAAGAATGGTCGCAGGCAATATTTTTTACTTTCCCAGAAAAATTGAAGCTTCTGAGGCGGTGCGTTTGATATTCCTAATGCGTTTCGATCAACAGCTCTAGTCGGGTGATTGTCGTCAGGCGTTCAATTCTCCTTAAAGGTCTGCGTTCAGAACATGTTCGAACGGCAAGCCCGGGAATTGCTGGCGTGCAGTAAACCACAAATAGCGTTCCTTCCCAAACAGTGGAATGGACAAATCGAACTTCGTGAGATCTATTGAGACAAAAAAAGCGAAAGTGATTGCATATACCCTACAGTGTTCCACTCGTGTGTTATGTGATTTGACGAGTCAGACACTGGTTTGGCGATTATGACTAAAGAAGAGAAGCATAGCCCAATTGTGAGCACAGGTAATCTTTAATCGCGAAACGGTGCATCAAAGCAGAATCAAGTGATCTCTCTCTCCACGGGTAAGGTTACCCCCATGAAACAAGTGGAATCTTAGACGGGCAGGGTATGGTCTTTTGTGACTGGAGTTGAATTCATCATGTGTGAATAGGTTAAAGCTAGTCCAAGGTATTTAAGGTGCTGTTGTGTTCCAAATGAAGTAGGTAGATCAGCACATAACAAACTAGGCAGTACGTTTATCGTAAACAGCAAATATGTAGCCCACGTCACAAACCGGGGAACGAGCAGGGACGAACAACGTATGGGAAGGCAGGCAAGCAGGTAGGCCGACCCCGGCTCGCAGGTTGCATCACATCCGAATGCCGTCAAGCCGGCATTCAAACAATCAGCCAATCGACCAATCAGTCTGACCACAGGCACGAATGGCAAACCTATCAGTCAGTCCTAGGCCACAACAGGCGCATCCTAGTAATCTATTAACATAGAACTTGACACAGTACAAACTGCGAATTTCAAAGCAAATTCGCTCCTTCTCAGAACTTGACCACATTTCAAGTGTTTGATGGGGAGCCCGAGAGAACTCTAAAGGGATACGCTGTTTGCATTACGTAACCAAAATTCGCTATGTTACTTAATGGCCATGTGAACAAGCGATTTTTCTGCTCTTGGCCAAGGGGAATTAGATCGGTTGGATCAGTTTTCGTTGTACGCGCAGTTCGCGCTTCATGAATCGAATACGAATCGCCTTTGCGGTCGCTAATGTCCGTATTGCTCTCGAGCGGAGTGTGGTGAGACTTGATAAATGATTGTAAATGCCGAGCACATGCCATCCAAATGTCCCGAAAACCACCAGGTTAGCACCGATCGAGCCTGACAGCTCCCACCCTGGGTGAGCCGGCGTGGATTCTGTTCTTTTTTAAATGGAGATAATTGCTTTGTGGTTCGACCGAGATAAGTCTCACCACAGATGCGCCTGAATTGTTAGACAATCATGGATGAGGTCTACATAGGTAGCTTTGAATCTATGATGTCGTAGAGAACACGCATCTTTGTTGAGCGGCAATAAAGGTGGATTTCACTGTGACGGACAAAACTCAACCAACCCTGTTAGCACCGACGTCACCTTTGAATGGACGTTTTATGAAAAAGCACTTTTTTCTCTGCTTCTGGTATTTTTGTTCTCTTGATCACATGACCACAACGTAACACAGCGAATTTAGGTTACGTAACCCAAACAACGTATCAATTTGAGTTCTCTCTAGCCGATTACCAAATAAATGACTCATCCAACTTTCTGTTGGACTCCATTCAAATTTTATCACACATGTGACTATCAAAGTTTGAAAAGGGATTAATCTAAAACACATATTAGCCTAGATTGTGTATTATGGATTGGGAGATGAGAATAGTGATATGGGACTAATCGATTACTAGTTCCTCTTCGTACATTGTGCATGCCCTGTGGTATAGTAACATTCCTTGTAAGTTAAGTCGATGCGTTTAATGGACGATCCGTAACACCAATACTGTCTTCAATTATTCGTGTGCCATTCAGTGGGGGAAGAATTCAACTAGAATAAAATGTCGACCAATTTTGGGCGTGATTCCGATTCCTATCTGAGAAGAACGGAGAATGAACTACCAGTAGGAATTCATTACTGTGTCTGCACAGCGAGACAGTTGACCGTCCTATTTGAGTCCTAATCGAGTCCCGCCGGGACTCCTGCGTTAACCACCATCCCATTGGAGTCCGATTGGAGTCCCGTCGGAACTCGCCTATCAGGACCGTCGCATTGGAGTCCTCTTCGAGTCTCGTCGGGACTGTACACATTTAATTTTAATGTATTAAGAAAAACAAACCAAATATATTACTGGAATGATAAATTAAATACTGAAAACATTAAAATTGTGTATTTTAGTGGCGGTTAAATTCACTCACAGATTGTTTAAATGAACAAATATGGGATGGACACTGCTTATGTTGCGAATTTGCTGGTCTGTAAGCGTGCAGCATTATCCAACTTTGTACCTTTATGTAGATTGCACTGTGTAAAAGAACTTCCCGGGTGAAACTCACCTCTAAATATGTGAGCAAATACAAAGATGGATTCAGAAGGCCGGAGAGAATATACACAGAAGAGAGTGCAACAAAGAGAACTAACCTGAAGATTCATCTGATGACTAATGAGTAAAACCTGTACATGTTTTATATCAAATACACATTTGAGTGTGCCCCTTGTATTACTTCTTCTATTGAAATTGGGGGTTCTGATGGTAGACGTCATACATGGACTTCGTTAGTCAACGATTGGGATGATGCACGATAAACATTGGTAGGGATTTAATTTAGATACATATAATGTATTTCGTAAGTTAATAAGCATCCGTTAGCCTGGAGAAATGTAAGCAACGCTTAATAGAATGTAAAGCATTCCTTTCGGGAGCCGTCCCATAGAGTCCCATTGGAGTCTCGGTTATGGTGCAAACGGACTCCAATGGTACTCCCATGGGACTCGGATAGGACTCCTATAGGACTGGAATAGGACGGCTGTGTGGACTGGATAGTACCAGTGAGGCATCAATTCCAGATATGATGACGTATTGATCGAAGCAACTTTCATCCATCTTGATGATGTCATTTGTCCCTATAGACACACCGAAGTATTGTACAACCTGTATTATTATCTCAACCAGTGCTGTGAAGTTTTACGAAGCAAAATAAATTATGCGGTTGAGCGAATTATATTGCATGAATTCTTTCAAACTGAGTTCCACGGTGAATCATAAGGATAGATTGAAGTTGGATTGTACGTAATAATTTCGTCATGGCTCCGTTGATGTCCATTCACCGCTAAATTGAAGAGTGGTTCTCCAACGTCCGTCAAAGTAACAATCCCCACCCCTATTGTTGCTCAAATTTTGTACTCGTTTCCAGTATGTCGGTTTATCAACTATTTTCCTATTTATATGGATATCAAGGAACAGAGTACCTGTTGTAGCCTACAGATATCTGGTATGTTTGTCGCGTTTGCCTGTGACCGGATTGATTGATTGATCGATCGGTTGATTGACTGATGCTGTCAGCTTGTGCACTCGCACGCACTCACGCCATGCGAGCTGACTCTACCACAATATCGATCGGCTCCAGCCAATCAGATGTTAGTATTGAACTTTTCCCACGCTGATTGATCGTTTGACTGTTTGAATGCTTGCTTGACAGCATTAGGATGTCACGTGTTGCTTAAGCCAGCTGTTGGCCGGCCTTCCCGCAGCCTACATGTGGCCCGATCCTGCTTGCTCACCGGTCTGCGGACATGCTACATGTTTGCCCTCCACGATACATGTATTGCTTAATTCAGCGCATGCTTATCCCCCTTAACCTGGACACAACAGTAGCCGATAGTGAAAACTACCTCAACAATTGCTAAAACATTGTAGACCGCTCCAATTTCACATTCATTGGCTCTCGTGAAAAACGTCACAAATGCCACTTTCCGTTATCTGGGAGTCTGGAAAAATTGCAAATGGGTTCAATAAAGTTAGACAATTAAAAATGCATCAGGCATAATTGCAGCCGACACGCTGAATGCAACCACCTCTATTCGCCAGGAGAGTGAGAAGATTTTACGGAGGCTTGGCCGAAATTACACAGAGTTTCGCACTAGTCTAACAAATATGTTAGACCCCCTCCAGTTATTCAGAAGACAGCTCACGAAACTCACGGAATCAGAATTTCCTGACAATTGTTGATGATCTGTTTGCCCACCATGATCACGAGGAGCTGTTGAGCCAATTCAATCAAACAGCCGCCGTTGTTACAATCTTCATTTCGCAGACCGAAGAAGTATATATAATTTCCCGGATACCCGATAAATCTACCGTTATTGAAAAAAAAACGGGAATGAACTTCGGAAAACGTAAAAACAATGCGATTAGGAAAGCACGACACAAAAGTGTGGAGAACAAAGTGCACCAGTGCTACAAGCATCGATCACGTCTTCAGTGCCAATAACCAGAACACACACAGCCATGATAAAAAGCAACACAGACAGACCGGTCTTACTTTAAGATCTGTGCAAGCAATCTGGAGTCGTTTATCGGCCTAAATTAGCAAGCTAGAAATAATTGGATTGCGGCGTTTCCTGGTCAGTATAAATATTTGGCTGTAATTCCAAAGTAACCCATTCAGTTGACATACGAATTAGAAGATATCGTAAAAGGACTCGGTTTGTCTAGCCGTCAACCTCATTCATACTGGGAAAGTCATAGATTTAGTGGGATAAGTTTTGCTTTTCGGACAGGTAAACCTCATCCGGCCGGCGCATCAGGGATGGATTCCTGGCACGCGTGTTCGGTTGGCATTTGGTTACCTGAGGCATCTTCGGTTCCGTCGCGACATTTGGCTATCTGTGAAGGGTCGAATATGTGCTGTAACAGTTTGACGAATGCTGCTACAGGACACAGGCACTTGGGATAAAGAAAGACTGTCGGTGTTCGAACACCGCTGCTTGCTTCCGATTGCACGAGTTTGGTGGAGCAGCCGGAAGAGCAATGCTGAGGGGTTAGATGCACCATTTTAGATAGTTGCATTAATTCACTGGAGCACTTACTCGAATTCCATTGATTACGTTGGTCGTGAACTGTATTATGCCTATCGCAAGTAGACTGCCACGACGCACGATATTTGCCGAGATGGGTGGTGACAGGTGAAAAAATGTGAAGAATAATCAAGGTAAGACCGGGCATAAGGATATGAAAACCCTGATCTGAAGGCCTGCTCAAATGGGTCTCGTTAGGCTCACTGGACGGGAATCTGGGAGATCAGCGTGACTGATGACTAAAGAGGTTGAGTAATATGACTGAGTACTGTAAGCAGTGTGGCTTCTATTTCTACTCAGTATCCTTGCAACCTTAGGCTTCATGAATTCTCTGTTTTTCCTGCATAATGCTAACAATCTTCCTGTGTTTTCCCACGGGCCAAACCAAAGCTCACTATTATTCCTTGTTCACAATGAAGCGGAAGACGAAAGAAACATTAACTTTTTGCGACTCCATATAAGTAAGTATCAACGGCGAGAGATAACTACATGTATTCCTCACAAACAGAAGAAACTGCTGTTCCGTACGACATAGTCACCATCGTTTGAAATGCAGGCAAGGACACTGGTTCGCTGCAGAAAGANCCTTCAATTGTCAACCCAACAAATGGACCGGGTTCAAGATCGAGTTCTGAATCACGGCGAACAGGGAGGAGTTGGCATTTACCGATATCCACGGGACCTTTATGTTCGGATACTGTCTACTCTGTGTTTCCCCAAAACGTTCGATATGTAGCTACTCATATATGCATACAGTGTTAGATTAGGAGGACTACGAAACACTCAATACGAATTTCTTTGCCCATTTTGTGCTTCTAATTAACTATAAACTCAGTCGTTTACTAATTTCTGGTTCCAGATAATCCATAATCTGTGTGCACTGGAAGCTTCTAAGTAGAAGAAATGACATGACCGGTTCTGCTCAACAGGAAATAAGGTGTGTACCACTAAACACAGTCCATGAATCAATCGAAATCCATTACTTGAGTAAACCGATCACACAACACGTCACACAAATGCACTCATGTTTAGCGCATTCGTTATCGAATATTCGTCATTGTGAAAAGTAGGCAACACGAAAGCAAAACGGGACACCACGAAATACTCACCGGCCTTTGAAGAATGCCACATAGAAAATGGATGCGTAAAAATTTACAAACTGAAAGAGGAACACTTTGAATATGAGTTGATTCTCAAAGTTGCTCTGTGTTCGGTGCATTTCTGTGGGGGAGGAAGAATAAACGAGTAGAGATAGAACGTTACCAGCCCTTGAGCCGTCCCCGGGATGGAATTTATGAGAAAATTGACAACAGAAAGCCTGCGTAAGCGGTCTAGCGAACAAATAAAGCTTTTGATCTGGGCGTTCTACCCAGGGGAATACTCACGAATAGCCATGAATGATTTTACCACTATTGGAAGAAGTGTTGTTCATATATACTTCATTGAGAGTTAATCTGTATAGAGGAAACGAGTCGGTGAGCAAGCAACTGTCTTCGGATATTCCTAGTCATGCTCGTACATATCATATAGTGGAAAAATGCTTACAGAACGATAGCTATTGGCTCAATTTAAGGTCATTAATCGGAGTAGGAAGGAAGGGGATGTGTGTGCGTGCGAGTATGTGTAGGAGCGTTTACTGTGTCAATCGATGTGACCTATCGCCATTTTGAGCATAACTAGGAATATCCGGAAACAATTGTTCACTCACCGACTTGTTTTCTCAATGATATTATGGGATTATTCAAACTGGTAATCTGTATCATGGCTGAACCTAATCATCATGCATTGAAACTATAAAAAGTTCAGTAGCCTCGATGAGATTCTAACCCATGCATAGTCGCCACCTACAGCTCACGCTCTACCAGCTGAGCTACGATGCCACTCCGATAGCACTGTGATATAGCCTGTTCCAAACGTGGACATCAATGTTCGCTTAAACGGAAGATGAAAAACATGCACGGTTACATGCAATCACAAAAACTACCAAATAATAGCAGTCACAAAGGGGTTTTGAATGGCTTTGCTAACCATGAAATCAAGAGGTTCGGTTTTTTTGGAACACCTACAGTGCGAGAAGTAAGAAGTGCTTGTAACGAGCACAATAAGATACCTTTCGTTCGTCCAGTAATAACCCGAGGTAATATCGGCTGTGAATATTGACAAATGTATGCAATTTATATTTCGAACTTCTCGTCTTGAGCCAAATCGATGGAAGTTAGTGGTCATTTCGGTGACTGTTCAGTCGCGAATCCTAAGCCTAGAAGTCG